GTGTGTGTGTGTGTGTGTGTGTGTGTGTGTGTGTGTGTGTGTGTGTGTGTGTGTGTGTGTGTGTGTGTGTGTGTGTGTGTGTGTGTGTGTGTGTGTGTGTGTGTGTGTGTGTGTGTGTGTGTGTGTGTGTGTGTGTGTGTGTGTGTGTGTGTGTGTGTGTGTGTGTGTGTGTGTGTGTGTGTGTGTGTGTGTGTGTGTGTGTGTGTGTGTGTGTGTGTGTGTGTGTGTGTGTGTGTGTGTGTGTGTGTGTGTGTGTGTGTGTGTGTGTGTGTGTGTGTGTGTGTGTGTGTGTGTGTGTGTGTGTGTGTGTGTGTGTGTGTGTGTGTGTGTGTGTGTGTGTGTGTGTGTGTGTGTGTGTGTGTGTGTGTGTGTGTGTGTGTGTGTGTGTGTGTGTGTGTGTGTGTGTGTGTGTGTGTGTGTGTGTGTGTGTGTGTGTGTGTGTGTGTGTGTGTGTGTGTGTGTGTGTGTGTGTGTGTGTGTGTGTGTGTGTGTGTGTGTGTGTGTGTGTGTGTGTGTGTGTGTGTGTGTGTGTGTGTGTGTGTGTGTGTGTGTGTGTGTGTGTGTGTGTGTGTGTGTGTGTGTGTGTGTGTGTGTGTGTGTGTGTGTGTGTGTGTGTGTGTGTGTGTGTGTGTGTGTGTGTGTGTGTGTGTGTGTGTGTGTGTGTGTGTGTGTGTGTGTGTGTGTGTGTGTGTGTGTGTGTGTGTGTGTGTGTGCGTGTGTGCGTGTGCGTGCGTGCGTGCGTGTGTGCGTGTGCGTGTGCGTGTGTGCGTGTGCGCGTGCGTGCGTGCGTGCGTGTGTGCGTGTGCGTGTGCGTGTGTGCGTGTGCGCGTGCGTGCGTGCGTGCGTGCGTGCGTGCGTGCGTGCGTGCGTGCGTGCGTGCGTGCGTGCGTGTGTGTGTGTGTGTGTGTGTGCGTGTGCGTGCGTGCGTGTCTGCGTGCGTGCGTGCGTGCGTGCGTGCGCGCGTGCGTGCGTGCGCGCGTGCGTGCGTGCGTGCGTGCGCGCGCGCGTGCGTGCGTGCGTGCGTGCGTGCGTGCGTGCGTGCGTGTGTGTGTGTGTGTAGTGATAGAGCCGTACATCGCACCAAAATATAATCCAAGTAGAAATATGATACAATACAATACCAAAAAACTAAAACCAAAATACAAATATATCAGCATAAACTACTGAGTATGGCGGATGATGAGTCGGACTGTCACCCTCAAGGCGTCCCTCCACTGCCACCTGTAAAACAAAACATCCTGAGCCTCCACCATGATGGAATCCAAAATACCTCTAACATCGAATCCATCAGGAAACAACCCTCTGTCAATACCATCTCGCACAAGCTCCGTAATACGATAACACCTAGGCAACACGTCATGAGCATGATCCCTCCTAGCCTGCTTCTCCTCTAGGATGTCCTGATGAACTAGACTTGGTGGGTTTCCTGGAGCATCCTCTACCATATACAGATGAGACACCTTGAAGAACCATATCATGTAATCATACTCGTAACTCCAGTCGTCTGGTGCTACGGTACTCCTGGCCTCATCGGGAACAAGATGATTCTCAAAATCATCAAACAGAGCATCCATATCCCTCCATTTCATAGTCGGAGGAGCACATATAGCAGGATCCCGGGGAATAGTCTGGGTAAACTCGAACTGACGCATCACTCGCTCAAGCATATAAGCAGCAGTCTTGTGAATCCCGCAAGCCAACCAACCTGTAAACAGCACAACCTCATGAAATGGTATCGTGAAACGGTGGTTGACATATGAACTTAAGTGAATGTCCTCATGCACCAGCCGGTCATTGTAAACCTGGAACGACTCTATTGTCTGGTTCCCTTGGAGTTGGTCGTATGCGCAGGCACACGGCTTATCTTCAGTATAACTCATAACATATGACCAACCCGAGATGCGGGGAAAGTGTTGCAGGATCCATCCTTGAAATAAAAAAATTAAATAGTTAGTTCCAGAATCAAAATAATTAACAAATGCCACAAAGATAAAGAATTTATACCATCATGAGTGACATGTTATTGGTCATCTGCTTCGTATCTCACTTAATGGATTCATCCAACTTGGTATACAAGTAAATCAAGCAAGCAACCCCTCAGCTCCACTGGTTGATCGTCTCAAAATCCTTAAAGTACCATAGATACATGATATCGGTGTAAGTGGCACTGGTGTCCACAAAAATATATGTGCTAACAAGATACAAAAGGTATGCTCTCATGGCAAACCCCTGTGAATGGTAACCTGCTCGGGATCACCATGAGCCTCTCTTGCACGCTTAATCTCATCCGCGAACACCCTAGCTAAATAGTTATACTTGACATGGCAACCACAAGTCTTATCAATCTCTCCCAGACCACTCTCAGGGGTAACTCCCAACTTCTGAACCAACAAATCCAACGCCTCATTTTTGTTGATCCTATCATGATCCAAGAAAGTCCCTTTGATCGGCAGATGAAGGAAACACGCAACGTCATCGAGTGTGATCGTCATCTCACCATGTAGTAGATGAAACGACAACGTCTCATAGTGCTACCTCTCAATAAAAGCATTGATCATACCCTAGTTGACCACGTTGTATCTACACGGGGCCAAATCTTTCAACCCTGTAAGCTGTAAAAGTTCATCAAATCATAGCTCAGTAGGCGGCACAAATTTCCTGATCTTCCCCCCATGGCTAATGACCTTGAGTCTATCATGTTCCTGCATAATAAAATTCAAGTCAAAATTCATAATAAAATTTATAACAGAAATAAAAATGCAAAATCCATACCTGTCCGTCCCAAATATATCTAGCAACATGGTTGGGATAAAGAGAGATAAGTGATAAATCAGACGATCCTCTTCCAAAATCCTGAGGGGTCGCAGGTGCAGGCTGAGCTGGTGTGGCCTCAGGTACCACTGGTGCAGCCTCAGGTGTCGCTGGTGTAGCCTCAAGTGCAGCCTCGGATGTCTCTTCAGGTGCCTGGGATGATTGAGGAATCGCCTCAGGTGGTGTATGGGTCTGAGGTTGTGATGATGCCTGGGCCTCAGATGTTGCCTGGGTACCAAATATGGATCCCGCCTCAAATACGCTAGGTGAGGAAGTGCGTCTGCGTGAGGAAGGGGGTGGCGAAGGATGAATAGGAGAATCTCGCCTGCTCTGGGAGGTCGACGCCGAAGGAGTAGAAGCAGGGACACCGGAGGGTGAAGCTGTAGGTGGTGCATCCTGTATTGGTGGTGCAGAGGCAGGAAGAGGTTGGGTAGCCTGACTTCTTTCTCTCTGCATAGAAGCAAGTTGTGCAACTCTATTGTGCCTCAATCGTGACGGTCTCTCATCCATATCTCTTGTAGAAGCACGAAAAAAATATTAACATAAGATCCAGTGTGCAAAACAAGCCTTAAAACAGACACTGACATAAACTTGAAGTATACTTCCGATTTTGTTCTAGACAAAATCGGAAATTTAATTTCGGTTCCTGCTGCGATAACAGAAGCAACGAAGATGACGTCTCAGTTCCCTCAATGAGCTCATAAAAAGGGTATTGATCACGAAATTAACTTTAGAAACACATTTCTAATGACTCCTAATGTTGATAACAAGCTACAGTATTATAATTTAAACCTTAATTCACTAATTTGAGTAGAAATTACATAAACTCTAAAAATTTGAAAAACCACTTAATTGATTGATTGGTGTTGATTTTACTTGATTGATTGCGTTAGAATGTTGTATTTAATCAATGTTTGATGATTTCTGATGATTTTTTGACCAAATATGTGAAGGATGTAATAAGGGTTTGAGAGAGTTTTATGTTTTGTTTTGAAAATGATTATTGTAATGGGAGTGGAAGAGGCATGACGCCATTTAGTGCATCCAAGAACTGAAAGTATACTTACGGTTTGAAACCGGAAGTATACTTTCAATTTACACCCAACATTTCTAACGTAATTCATGTATAGCATGGTGCGAACCGAAAGTATATATCCGATTTTAAAAGACACTTATGGAATTTCACATGATGCGTAAGAAGGTCACGAGGTGGGTTAAAAATTCACCAAATTTAAGTCAAGATGGAGAATTTTGTTTCCTCAAAATGCCATAAACATTGTTACTATAGTTTGAATAAATAAATTAGAGCAATAAAATAAAACAAAGTTTGAGTTAAAAAATCATGTTTGATAATTTTACTTGATTTTTTTTTGTTAAATAAATTTAATACATTAATACTTGAATTATGGTCATTTAATACATTTAATTAAATAATTCCTCTTTTTAATTTACAAAACTAAAAACCAAAAACCAAAACCCTTAAAACCTCTTCTAATTTTTTAGTTTTTAAGACTCTTAAATAGAAAATAATTTTTAAAAAATGGTTTTATAAAATTAAACTACCAAACAAGTTTTATTTTTTAAAAATTTTAAAAACTAAAAATCAGTTTTATAAAACTAAATCAAACAAGTCCTAATTCTTCTAATATTCTTAACTTCTTGATTCATCGGCACTAATAATCTTCTTTGCATATCCCTACATAGTTTCACAAACTTTCCTCAAACATAAATAGAGTAGATTAATGGATTTCCTTGAGTAATAATAGGTAGAATGTATTTTAAGAGTTGTCACATAAAAATATATTTAATAAATAGATAGTTCTAACTTCTAAGAAACGATGTGATAATCTGTCATTACATAGAGAAAATAACTTATATAAAGGCATTACCACAATATAATCAACATGCAAATGTTTTCACCAAGTCCACAAGAGATCCCCAAATCAATTATTTATATAACAAGTTGGATTCAGAAGTTGAGAACATGAATACAAAATCGTGTAAATTGCGTAATTATACCTTAACTTTGTTAGTATACTACATCCTTCAGTGTGGAATTTAGACACATAATTCGTTGCTTTCTTCTTCCTCAACCCGAGGGTACTTTTATTCAGCTGAACCAAATAAAATATGTACCTAAAGAAAAATCCATACGGAAACCACCATCAAACAAAATTTACAGAAGAGGTTTAGGCTATAGCACCAAATGAATTCCCCCCTTGATTGAAACTATTCCCACTGGACTGGAAGTGTGAAACTGCTGCCAATATCACTCGCAGGATCAGAATTGCAGCAAATACTGTGCCACCAATGTTGCAGATAACCTGCAATTCATATTCAATATTCAGTTATTCACCAATTGATGTTAGTTACTACGAGTACTTAATAATACATTCACCGGTTATAAAGCAAATAACTTTTGTGAAGAAAGAACTACAAAATTCCAGAACCATATTCAGTTTTGCTCGCATATAGCTTCTATGATCCCAAATCCACGCGAGTTAGCATAAACTACACAAATATCTCAAACTTCACAATGTTCTCAAACTACACATATCATCTCCTCCCGCATAACTTGCCCGGACATTACACAAATCCACGATCTAGTATGAGAATCAACGAAGGAATGTGCAATGTTCATGGAGCATAAATAATGTGCAAATAACATTTCAATCCTTGTGTGCAAATACTAGTATGACAAATACTATGATTTAGAGAACAACAACAACAACCAAGCCTTATTCCTCTAACTGGGATCTACTAGATAAATCAACTTCCACCATAATGTTCTATTTTGGTTGTGCTTATATCCAAATCGTTAATCTTGAGATCTTAATAACTTCTTTTAATAGTGTCTCTAAGTCTTCTTCTACCTCTAGCGGTTTGACTTCTATCCATCTGCTCTACTCTTCTTACTACAAAATATACAAGTCTTTTATCTACATGCTCAAACCACCTAAGTCTATATTTAAAGAACACTAGGAGAAATACTTTGTCCTACACGTTCTTGGTTTTGAAACCACTGTGGAACACAGCGATGGGTGGAGTACATTTTATGATTTTATCACTAGAAACTGCAGAAGAAATATTATATGCACGCATTTTATTGCAAGCCCTCTCTTTCATCTCTTCCTCACATCATGAAAATGCTTGATTACATTCAGTTGTATTCATAAAAAGCAAAATGTTGATAAAAATAATTATAAACAGGAAATAAAACAAACTAAGGTTTCAAGACTTTCGACTAGCCATGAACTCTTCATTAACCCACACAATGGCAAAGAAGCAATACCTCAAGAAGTGCTTTGACAACAGAAAGTGAAGCAAGTAGCAGAGTCCCATCAACAGCAAAAGAAACCTGAATTTCCCCATCAACATGGTAAGCAAAAACAGAAAACAGTCAAGGAAATAACATTGAGAGATAAATTCCAGTGCCTAAGTTTTCAAAAAAACATCATGCAGCAGATTTATAAATTCTACCTTGCCTACTTCCTAGTAGTGCTTAGAAATCAAAATGGAAACTAAGCCAAATTCCACAAGTATAAATAACTGCATGTTAGATTCATCTTAAATTAACTTCAATGCTAAATTAACTTCTTTTTTTCAATTATATCCTATGACACCGACACAAACACCGACACAGATACATCGACACCTGTAAAACTTACAAGCTGAGGAGAAAAGACTGATGGCAAAACAGAACGAGAAGCCTTTTTAGCCTTTTTAGACATCTTCTTAAACATACTCTGCAAGAATTTTATCAACAAATCAACACTACTCTCTGCATCATCCTCATCACTATCATCTTCAATTCCATCGTATCTCCCAAAAACACCATCCATCTCATATGGTTCTCCTCCTCCGCTTGAGTTATTCAGCTACAAATCACAGATAGTGTAAAGATATGAATCGAATTTCAACAAATTATTGAGTTAAGCTTGTACGAATCATAGGATGTGTTTATTATACCTTGCTATTGCAATTGATGGTTGTGAGATTTGAACGATGATTGAGGTTGAGTGTAGGAGTGAAGGGTTGATGGTGAAGAATCTGAACATTGTTTGGTGAGAAGTGGTGAAAGGTGGAGCGTGGAGAGCGCGTGAGATTTATCAACTGAGTTGTTGCAGTAGATGTTGTTGCTGCCATTTGTGACCGAAAGTCGAAGATTTTGTTTTGATGAATTATTGATTTTTTTTTTAGCTTTTTGGTGTCTGATAAATGGGCTTTAGTATTAACCCAGACTTAAATAATTATATTTCAAGAAACGCTCTAAATGCATACAATTTTTAAGATTGAGAAATTCAAACTATCATATAGATACGAATCGGAAATAAATTTACGGTTTAAATCGTAGTTGAATTTCTTGTTCGTGTTGAAATTTAAAGACGCGTTGTCTCTTCTCCTTCCTCATTTTCTGAAATTATTTGAAAGAAAAAAAAAAACTCAACGCACAATAACCAAACCCTCTCAAACCCCATTGTGTCAAAATTATCCTATTTTGCGAAAAGTTCATCGGGAATCATCAAGCATCAGACAAAGTTCAGTGTTCAAGCAGATTCAAGAAAAAAATCATCACTTGTAAGTTGTTTTTGAGTTTTTTAAAGTTTATGTAATTTTACCTACAAATTCTGTTTTAGGATCGAAAGTTCAATTTTTTAGTGTTTGCAATGTTATGAGTCATAAGAAATGTGTTAGGTATTTTTTTTACGATCAATGGCTGTTTTTTTGAGGTCATTGGGCATGAGTTTCGCCATTGACGAAGCTAAAATGTCACAGGTCATACCAGATATGCATTTCCAGTTTTGTTCAACATTTACATCAAAAATCAGAACTGCATATCCGATTTTAGTCAGTCTGTATTTTTTCATTTTTTGAACCTGAGTCTTATTATTAACATTTGTTTCATTCTTCTACATTAGTGATGACTGAGAGACCATCTAGATTGAGGCACAACAGGCTTGCACATCATGCTTCTATGCAGAGGGAAGAGAGTCAGGTATCCTAGACTCCTTTTGCCTCTAGAAAGGTTGTGTCAGATGCGCCTACAGCCTCCGGTGTTCCTGCTTTTACACCTAGTTCATCGTCCTCTCGCAGCAGGCGAGGTTTTCTAGTTCATCCCTCCTAGCCTCCGCCCTCCCGTAGACTCACTTCTTCACCGATACTATTTGAGACAGGAGAGACATCTGATTCGCATACAACACTAGAGGCACCTGAGGCCCAGGCACCTGAGGCACATGAGGTGCCTGAGGCACCTGAGGCACCTGCAGCTGAAGTGGCACCTGCAGTTGAGGCGACACTTGTAGGTGAGGCGGCACCTGTGACGCCTCGAAGTTTTGGAGGAGGGCCTTTTGATTTATCATTACTGCCTTTGTACCCGGACCATGTGGCTAGACATATCTGGGACTGAGAGGTATGGATTTATAAGTGTTCTTGTAATTTTTGTTGAATTTATTTTATTATTATGTTTTGTTGAGTGAATTTTGTTAAACCATTTATGCATGAACGTGATCCGGTGAAAGTCATTAATCATACGCGGAAGACCACTAAACTCGAAGCTCCTACTAAGCCATGGTTTGATGAGTTGTTGTAGCTAACAGGGTTTAGAGACTCGACCCTTATTGAATATACTACCGTTAATCATGGTATGATTAACGCTTTTGTTAAGAGTTGGCACCATGAGACGTCATCGTTCCATCTGCCACATAGTGAGATGTCCATCACACTGGAGGACATCGCGTGTCTGCTGCGTCTTCCGATAAGAGGGAAGTTTTAGACCATGACAGGTGCGATAAAGAGGAGGTGTTGGAGTTGTTGGTAGATAAATTGGGAGTTTCTCTTGAGAGTGCCATGGTTGAGATAGACGCCACTCATGGTACTCACGTCATATTTAGTTATTTGAAGGTGTTCACATATGAGGTACGATGCGCACGAAGGGCTAATGGTGATCCTGAGCATGTTACCCATCATCGAAGGTGAGCTATGAGAGCATATATTTTGTATCTGATTGACACGACCATTTTTGTGGACACTAGTGCCACTTACATTAATATCATGTACCTGGGGCACTTTGGTGATTTTGAGCAGATCCATGAGTAGAACTATGGGGCTACTTGTTTGGTGTATTTGTATCATAAGTTGTCTGAAGGCTGCAAGTGGAAGACGAAACAAATGACCAGTAGCATCAAACTCCTGATGGTAAAATTTACTAGTCTTATATTGTGATTTTGTTTAGTTAATTATTGTGATTCTGTTACTAACTAGTAATCATTGTAATTTCAGGTCTGGATCCTACAACATTTCCCCCTTATTTTGGGTTGGTCACTTGCCTCGGTTTATACTGAAGAAAGGTCGTGTGCCGATGTATTCGAGCCGCTCCGAGAGAACCAGGCGATAGAGCCGTTCCGGATGTATATTGACCAGTTGGTGTATGAGGATATACACTTTCATACCTACGTCGACCACCGTGACATGATTCTATTTGATGATGTTACAATGTATTCTGGTTGGTTGGATTGTAGGTCATACAAGATGGTTGCTCATCTGCTTGAGCGCATCATGCGTCAGTCGGGTACATGCAGTATATTCCCCAGGATCCTATTGTATCTTCTCCCCCCCCCCTTTTGAAACAGAGGGATCCAAGAAACCCACTGAGGCCCGCTCATCAGAAGATTCTAGTGGATAAGCAGGCTAGGGCCGATCATGCTACTGATGTGTTGCCTAGGTGTCACCCTATCATGGAGATTGCGCATGCATGTATTGATGGAGGTTTGTTTCCTGATGGCTTTGATGTTAGAGGTGTTCTAGATGCCATCATAATAGAGGCTCAGGGGGATCTGCAGTACAGAAGGCAGCGGAGGAATGTCGGGAGGGGGACATGTTGACTCATAGTCCGCCATAACTAGTAGTCTTCTTCATTGTTAGATAATATTTTATTTATCGATTTTTGAATTGTATTTGGATAATATTTTGGGTTACCGCCTTTATTGACTTCAAACAACTTTTATATTGTTGATTGTTATATATATATATATATATATATATATATATATATATATATATATATATATATATATATATATATATATATATATATATATATATATATATATATATCTTTGTTCTATATGTCTTTATATTTATTTTGCAGTTTCCAAAATGCGAAACAATGCAAAAATGGCTACTATCTGTATAACTTTTTCTGCTACTGTTTGCATAGAAACCGGAAATACATTTACGATTCCATCATGAAATTTTATTTTCGATTTTAATGTATATGCAACAAAAAAAATGTGCATCCCGAAAATACATTTCCGATTCTGTAGAGGTATTTTTGGGATTACATGGGGTGTTTTTTAACCTTATGAGGTGGGTTAAGAAATTCCCAAAAAATTTACCAAAATATCTTTCATATAAAGAGTTTATTTTTTTAATTTTTAAATTTTTATCACTCTCGTTTTTAAGTCTTCTAAACCACTAAATTTTTTTATGTTTTCTGGAACTCTTCTGATACACTGAATGCAAATGGAAACTTATTCATTAAGTGTTATGGCTTTGTTGTAGTTTTGGAACACTTAAAACAACTCTTTCAGTACACAACTACACTCAAAAAGCCATTTGATAAGTGTTTTAGTTTGGTTGAGACATTCACCGGAACTCTTAAGCAAAGTGTTCCATTTTTTTTAAATTACTATTCCTCATGTCTTCCAACAAGTGTTCTGGTTTGAATTTTTTAGTTTCTTTTATGTATTTTTTATCATTTTGGCAGTGGCACAAATACGAGACAGACATGGTTGGATTTCAGATCATAGTTTACGACGAGGCACTCCATTAATATTGGTGGGGGAGGATGAAAATATTGGTGCATCTCCATTCGCACCCCAGTTGGTTGACTTTCTAGGCGGGTCGTACAATATCTCTCTTTTGATAAAGTACGAGCATTATATTGCTCGTCATTTATGCTCAGTGAGCTAAATAAATTATAGTCTCTTCTGGTATAAATATTTAATTTATAATTTTGTATTTCATAATATGTATACTTTTAATTGTTTTCATGAGAGAGGTATGAAGAAAGAGCTCAAAGTTGTTGGACATGGTCTCAAGCTTATGGGAAGGGTTCCCCATTGTCTCCCACGAGAGATGGAGGCTTGGATGACTAAGTTTGGTCTATCTTCACTTTAAAGAACCAGTTTTTCAGACACAAACCTGGTATCAACATTTGTAGAGAGGAAACATCCATAGACATCTTTATTTCACATGTCATTTGGCGAGATGAATATTCCACTAGGACGTTGTCTCTTGTCTGCTTCACCTGCCCATCAAGGCAGGAGTGTAATCGATTTAATTTGAAGCGTTTTTTGTCAAAAAAATGTCTGAATCGATGATATCTCCACCTGCTTGGTTTTTCGGTTTTTAACGTTATTCAAAAATGGAACTGAACCAAACTAATCAATTTGGTTTGGTTTGGTTTGGTTTGGTTGATCGGCTTACAATATTTTTTTTCAAACATTATATTCATTAATGTAATCTCCATTATCGTGTTTTTTGATGTATTTTATGTTGTTACTTTTTAAAATAATACATTTCATATAATTTATTTCATACGCTATTTTTTCAAACAAATTACAAGTTGCTCTTAATCCATATGAAACAGTGACATGATTTCCATTACATCATGAAATAAATTCATTATCAAATGTAAAAGTTGACACTTAGCATTAGAAATTTGAGAAGAGATTGAAATATTAACAAATAGAACACAATAAAGCACACATCAATTAACATGTTTCACACCTTAAACACACATCACCTTTTTTTTAACAAGAATAGAAGGAATTTTGTTGAAGAAGAAACAAAAAGATATAAAAAATATGAAAATTAACGAAGAAAACTAGAACACGTAGAAGGTAACTGTAACATATCAAAATGATGGTAGAGAGAGCAATAGTTGTGGCGGGCAACGAGAGCAGCAGTTTAGTGAAAGTAAGTTTTTCTAACTTATGGTTTCTACTTTCTATGTTTTGGAGTTTCGTTCTAAATGGGTGTTTTGTTGAAAGGAAGAAAGTGTAAACAAACATGAAGAATGTTTGGACCGATACAAGTTTGGGTTTAATGATGGGGAAAATAAAATATTTAGAGCGTAATTATAT